ATTCCTGTAGTCTGCGCTGCAGTTCAGCCTCTGCTTTGGCAGGGTGCTGTAACTGTAGTCGCTGGCCAGCTTAATAAAGGCTCCTAAATTTTTATCTGAGTCCTGGTGGTTATCTCTGCGGGTCACCCCATTACAATAAATATCATTATAGCCACTGTACACGGAAGGACCTGACAGGACAGCTGAAGTCATATGCAATATTTCAGCAGTGTGATAATTTGTCTCCCATTTGTCCCTATGGCACTGTTAAAATATTCAATTTATGTTGGCTGAACAGTCAAATAAATGAACTTAGTGACAATCTCCTCCCATAATGAAAGGCTCTACACAGTCATCTTTCAAAGTCTAGGGTCTGGCCTTCAGTAGAGTACTTTTATTTCCTTTTATATAGTTTGAATTTGGAATCTTTATTTACTATAAAGAAAAACTTGTATTTTCATTTTTTCCAGCAGTGTGTTTCCAGGCATGGGATGGTTACATTGCAGTCAAGCCAGAAACATAAATGCTGAAATTTGATAGTAATGTTTTTCCTCTGAAAGTTGCTTCAAGTAAATGAGGTAATTATTGTAAAGGCAAATTGTATATATTTCTCAATATGAGTATTCATGTTTAAACATTTTAAAAAGTTAATAGTGCTCGCTTCGGCAGCACATATACTAAAATTGGAACAATACAGAGAAGATTAGCATGGCCCCTAAAAGAAAAAAAAAAGAAAAATAAATAAATAAAAAGTTAATAAAAACTATTTCATACTACCTTCTATTCTTAGTCTGGGATATGATAAAATGTGAAAATTCCAATGTGCCTCTAAGAAAAGCTCAATACCTCAAAATTCTTTTATTTATACTACTAGAGGCCCGGTGCACGACATTCGTGCACTGGGGGGTGTGGGGGTCCCTCAGCCCGACCTGCACCCTCTCCAATATGGGAGCCCTCTCCAATCCAGAAGTTTCTGTCTGTCTTTGCAATCATATGAGCGAATTGTCTGAGACCCCAACTCAGTTTGGTTTATTGCTCACAGAATAATAGAGGCATTTTTTTCTTCTTTGCTTCATTGGTAGAGATTTCCTGGAAGTTTTAGGATATCTTCCCTTTAATTTTTCCTAGACACTCTAATTTTACTTATGTCTCTCACCTTTGCTTTTCCTCCATCCCCCACTGCAACAGTAACTTGCTCCAGGGTCACTTTGCTCTAGTGTCTAGGAGATCCGTCTGCCATCAGAATTACGATTTCCAGCATTCCTGGTGCTCCCCGTGCTCTGGGCTTCCGCTTCTGGTCCTGGGGCTCCCACAAAAACTACTATTCCCAGAATTCCTGGTGCTCCCCATGATCTTGGTTTTCCCTTCCTGCTCTGATTGTGTCCCATGGCCTCCCACTCTGCCAAGTCCTCCAAGTTGCCAGCTCTCCGTCTCTGCTCTTCGTCTGGTGGCTTGGGGAGCCAATTTCCCCAAGCCGCTCCACTCTCTGCTGGCTCTCCCAACCCCCCTATCAGGCACAGAGGAGGGCTGATCAGGGGGTTGGGGTGCCTTCCCCTGTCACGAACAGAGTAGGGCGGATAGGGAGGTTGTGGCCCCGCCCCCTGTCACTCACAGAGCCACAGGGCGATCAGGGGGTTTGGGCGCTGCCCCCTGTCACACACAGAGCCGCAGGGCAATCAGGGGATTGGGGAGCTCCCCCCTATCAGGCACAGAGGAGGGCTGATCAGGGGGTTGGGGTGCCTTCCCCTGTCACGAACAGAGTAGGGCGGATAGGGAGGTTGTGGCCCCGCCCCCTGTCACACACAGAGCCGCAGGGCAATCAGGGGATTGGGGAGCTCCCCCCTATCAGGCACAGAGGAGGGCTGATCAGGGGGTTGGGGTGCCTTCCCCTGTCACGAACAGAGTAGGGCGGATAGGGAGGTTGTGGCCCCGCCCCCTGTCACTCACAGAGCCACAGGGCGATCAGGGGGTTTGGGCGCTGCCCCCTGTCATGCTGATCCCGGTGCCGGGAGCCTCGCTGCTCCGCTGATCCCGGTGCTGGGAGGCATATTACCCTTTTACTATATAGGATAGAGGCCTGGTGCATGGGTAGGGGCTGGCTGGTTTGCCCTGAAGGGTGTCCTGGATCAGGGTGGGGGTCCCCACTGGGGTGCCTGGCCAGTCTGGGTGAGGGGCTGAGGGCTGTTTTCCGGCTGGCGAGTGACTAAAGCTTCCAACCGCTCCTTGTTTTCTTCTCTTTTTTTTTTTTTTTTCTGGGCCAGCTTTAGCTCTGAGGCCTCGCTGCTGAAAACATAGATACAATGTTGCGGTCCGAGCCCGGCTGAATGGAAGCCCTTTTCTGGGGTTTTGTTTAGCTTCTTATTTGCAACATAGTATATAGTTGCTTAGAGTTGCAACTGAGAGGCTGGCAAGTGAGGCGGGGAACGTTGGAGTCTGCAGCAAGCAAGCCTCCCTGCTCGCTTCAGTGCCTGGCTGCCAGCCGCCATCTTGGCTGACAGTTAATTTGCATATACTCACTGATTAGCCAATGAAAAGGGTAGCGGTCGTACGCCAATTACCATGTTTCTCTTTTATTAGTGTAGATAGCACATATATTTAGAATGGTGGTAAGGTCAGTGGTTCAAAAAGTGTGGCCCTAGGACCAGCAGCATCAGCATCAGTATCACTTGAAAACTTGTTAGAAATGGAAATGATAAGGATCTACCTCAGACCTACTGAGTCAGTCTATGGGGGTAGGAGCAAAGCAATCTGTGTTTTAACAGCACTCCAGTTATTATATTGTAGGAATAATCTGGAGAACAAAAGGGGCAAACCAAATGCACCATTTGGATTCATGGATGTTACCTATAAAGAACTGATAAATTTTGGAAGAAAGGGTCCATTTATAATCAAATCTGTGAAAATATAAACTTTAGAGTAAGGGGTCTGCTATATTAAGGGCATTGGACACCCTATAGACCAGCGGTTCTCATCCTGTGGGTCGCGACCCCTTTGGGGGTTGAACGACCCTTTCACAGGGGTAGCCTAAGACCATCAGAAAACACATATATATATTTACATATTGTTTTTGTGATTAATCACTATGCTTTAATTATGTTCAAATTGTAACAATGAAATTGGGGGTCACCACAACATGAGGAACTGTATTAGAGGGTCGCGGCATTAGGAAGGTTGAGAACCACTGCTCTAGACCATATACAGTGACATGCAGTCGAAGTAGAGTTTCATTTCACAGAGAGAGGCCAAATCATTCCGAGTCTGCCTTCCAGGATGCAGATAAATATACCATAGACATACTTAATGAGGAGCAAAGCCTGCAAGAACTATCTGCCATTCCCTCAAAGGTAACTCCAAACATGTGCTGTTAAAATTGCTTTTTTTCTAAGGAAAACACTAACTTACAATATATGCATTTTATTACTACTGAAGTACAACATTCTATCACCCACTTTCAACCATCAATGACAAGACTATTCTTTCCAGGAATACATTTATAACCACTATTTTACTTGCTTTGTTATTACATAGATTTAAGAAAAACAGGAAATTTTCTAGCATTTTGACAACTATTTGTCATAAGTATTTGAGATACATGAAAAACGTATTTTAGTAAAGAATATATACAAAACTTCCTGGCATTTTGCTAGAAAAAGTGAAGGCATTAACTGTTTACCTCATTTTTATTTATACTATTCTAAAGAAAAGCTGGTGAGAGAAACTACCCTATCATCAGGTTGCTGTATTTGCCAGAGAAAAGACCAAACCTGGGAGAGAATTTTTACTGTAAGTCAAGGGGGAGGAACACTCAGAATCAGATGAATGGAATACTCAGGTCATATCTTTGATTTTATTGAGATGTACAGTTGAAACCTGTACTCCAATAAATTCAATTAAACAAGAAATATATTATATACTGTGGATACATCTATACACAGGCATGTACGTGCACCCATTCTTATTAGAGAATATATTAAAATTATTTCTAACTTGCAAAAAAAAATAATAAAAAGGACAGGGGATATAAGGAAATCATCCGTTTACTACAAATGTGGTATAACTATCTCTTGTTTTTATTGTTAGGTCAGTAATTTTGCTCACAATATAAGTGAGAAAGAAAAAAAAAACTAAGTTCTTAAACATGAATGTTTATTTGAATGATTACAAGTAAAAATATAAATATTTTGTTTGATCTTGTGTTCATTAACAATGCATCATTATTGGATGATTCAGACTTTAGAGGAAGTCAAATCAGGGTTTGAATTCTGACTGACAACTACTAGCTATGTGAATTTGACCAATTATTAACTTCCCAGATATGTTTCCTCATCTGAAGAGTACAACTAATTTGTAGGGCTGTTATAAGTATTTGAGATAAACATTTGGGATGTGCCTTAGACAGAGTAGATGATCATTAAACAGTTATTAAAATATGAAAGAAAATTAATGCCTAGAGAATTGATGTGGGTATATAATCTGCCCAACTGAATTGAAGATTATAACTTTGGGTCTCAGTATCAATAACTAACTTCTGTTTCACCTACATGTTAAATAACTATGAGTTGCAACCCTCCCTTCCATAACACTCACAGAGACAGCAATAAAAAACACACACAAATATTCCCTTAAAATAACATACTGCATATAGAGATAACACTTGGGAGAGGGAAAAAAAATACCACCTTTTATTCACTTAATCCTGTTTCTTCCTCATACTATCATAGCACTTCAAAGTAACATATTTATTGCTACTAAGGTATTATAGATTTGCTTTTCTATGTTAAAGCCTCTCTGTAGTCACCGAATGTAATAGGCTACTTTAGCTAAATATCCTGGGCCATAAACCTTGTTCAATAAGAGCACTTTAATAATATTCTAATCTTGGAATGCAGTTAAAAAGATTGATGGCCCCTATATGCTACTTACAAACAAAAATGGCTCTTATGCAATCTTAAAGATATAAAAAATTTAGCATTTGAAAACATGTAAATAATTTCCACATTCTGCTAGTCTATTTTACATACCTGAGAATTTTTTTAGGAATCTGTGATGGAGAAGAATGACTCCTTTTCTTCTTCTCCTCTGAGACCTGTAGTAACTCATCCTGTGTTCCACCCTTCTCCATGATTGCTGACTGGTCTGCTCGGGCCTTACTTTGATTTACACTGGGTTGGCCTTTGGCAGGGTCACACCTGTACATGAAGATGATGGCTGGCTTCTCACTGGATTCTCCTTTTGCCTCTGTGAACCAGTGTTGGTGCTGGACTGGAGGAGGGGGCAGCATGTGGATGACTGTGCCATCCAGACCCACCAGTTTCCCTTTCTCTCGTTCTTTCTCTTTGTTGTCCTCCTCATCTGTTTTCCAACGACGGAAGAAACTTTTAAATGATATCCAGCGTTTAGGTTTTGCATCAGCTGCCCGCCTGCTGCCTTCAGAGTGCAAAACGGATTCAGCTTCTGTTGACCTGGTAGGGCTGGTTGGCTTGGTCCAGTTGGTGAAATGCTTCTGCAAAAGGTTACTTGCGTGGTAAGGGGAGGACGTAGAACGTGGTGGAGGAAAAGGAGGTGATGGCTCACTCTGGGGGTTAATCACTAACTTGGAGGGAGAGGTTGTGACTTGCTTTGCCAGTGTATCTTTTTGGACTTTAGTGGTAAGATTTTCTGTGGTCTGAGGTGCTTCATGCTCACCACTGGAATGAGATGGAAAGAGAGATTTCGGCCGGACTGGTGTACTTTTAGCAACATCAACCTCTGGAGGAATTGCATAAAGCTCTTCCACACTGCAAGTTTTAAGGCCTGACTGGGACATTTCTGGAGGGGACTGTGGGGGTTGGATAGAAGCCACAATTTGAGAAAGCACTATGCTTGCTTTCTCCTTGTTGCTGCTGCCACTCCCCACCATCTGAGACTCCTGAGTGCCTTCTGTTCTGGCAACAGGTTCTTGAGTGGTTCTCTGGCTCTTAGTTGGGGAGCTGTGGTTGGAACTACAGCTTCTCTGTGGGGAAGACAGACCTCTGTTAAGACAGCTGTTAAACTCCTGGACTTTCTGAGCCACTGAGCCCCTTTTACATTCTGTGCTATTTGAAAACCCTTTAGCTTGGGGACAATCAGTGGGGTTGCCAGTGGTATCATCAGACACTTTGCTTGAAGTTTCTATTTCTTCGTAAGTATGGCTTATCATACTTGTGTTTTTTTCCTTCACTGAAAGTTCTCCACTTGTTCCAAGAAAACTTTTATAGATGGCTAGATTGTCATATGCATTTGGATTAATTACAATGGGAACTTTGATAGCATTTTTGGAACTCCGAGCATAAGTTGGCTCGTCGTGAATGATAATTGGAAAAGGGGGCATACCAGCATTGTTATAACTATTAAATTTTATTTCAGACAAATTAGGTGACTTAACAGGGATGGTTTTAGAGGAAACATTTGCAGCAATGGGTGAAGTAGGTGCTGATTTGTGACAGTTTTTCCTTGGAGGGACATTTGGCTCAGTTCCGCCACTAATTAATTCCACCTTAGGTATCTTTTGTCGTGGACTTGTACTGGATGTCCATACTTCCTGGTATCGAATTGCACTGGATTTTTGAAAATGGGCACTTATTTGTCCTGATGTTGATATAGGTGATGTCACTGGAGAGTTTGGAGTAGAAGATGAGGTTTTTGTCTTGGGGCTGTAAACAGGGCCCTCGAGGTGTTCACTAACCATTGCTGCTGACACATCTACAACAGTATATGGCTTGCACAACGGCTGCTCAAGGTTCACTATGCGGTAGGGCTTTGCTTGCTCTTGTACAGGAATGAGGTTTATGATTACTGCTTGCCCAGCAGTATCTGTAGAGGCTTTTCTTTCTTGATTCTCAGTTTGTACAGCAATCTTGCCATCTTTCTCTTCTAATCGGAGAGCAAGGACTGCTTTGTGTGTCTCTGGAATTTTTTCTGAGATTTTGGATGCTTGCGATGAATCCTCTTGATTGTTACCAGAGAGACTTTCATAATTGGGCTCACTTTCCTTCATGTCCTTAGAATATCCTGGGGTACCAGGAGATATTCCATTACAGATCTTCTGGGATAAACTACTGGCTGTCTCAGAACGTGATTCTTCTGTTAAAGAAGAATCTGGTGATGTGGAGTCAGATGATGCCACGCTCTGAATGCTTCCTGGTCCATAGGAGACCACAGAATTCTCTTCATAACCATTCAGGATCTCATCATAACTGTCATCGTAGTCTACAGCACAGATTCTCTGCAGAGACTTATTTCGCAGAGGGACAGTATTCCATTTTTTGTCCACATAGAATCGAACAGGAGACAAAGTGTTTGCCCTAAAGTTAGCGAATCGAGGTTGCCCTCTCATACGAATCTCCATGGCCAACAGCTCTTCATCACTCTCATCCCAGCTTTCATGCTCCTCTTCCATGTTACTGAAAAGTACATCTTCCTCACACTCCTCTCCACTAGAAAACTCTGGGTAACAGAACTGGCCCCCTTCATTACTGATCACTTCTGTGCTCCCGCTCAGAATAACATGCTTGCCCTGAGTATCCTTTATCCCACCCATCATGCAACTTGGTGGAAGCTTTCTTTCCAGTGATCGTTTATAGCAATCATTTATTCTTCCTAAGAATATTTCTTTGTCATTTGTTTCATTTACTCTTATCTGAGGAGTAGTATCCAAGCCTGCTATCTCCTTCAACATTTCAGTTAGTCCATTATTGTTACTTGATATCTTCTTTGCACTGTCATTATTGCCAAAAGGTTTAGAAACATGGCTAACTCCTTCAATATCATCTTCATTATTATTATTATTGAGTGGTTTCTGATTCAAGGCTGTCCTGTTTCGGTTCCTCTCTATAATGACAGGTTTGTTCTCACAGGGTCCTTGGATGTTAAGCTCACCATATACACTTTGCCCATCTGCCACCATCATGGTGGGCTTCACAGCTATAGTGGGTTTTTTAGCAACAGGAGGCCGGAAATTTGCAGTGTTCCTGATATGGTGGTTGTTACTGTGATTGGCATTAGTTTTCACATGGCCGTGGGTGATGGCTGTCTTCTCAGGGTCAGGAGGGAGCTTGTGCAAGCTTTTAGGTTTAAAGCAATTCTTGCATTCACCAGGTTTCCAAACGTGCTCAGTAAAGGTGTTACAGGCAGACATTTTAGAAAATTGAACTTCACATACAATGCTTCCCTTTCAGTGCATGGCAAAACTTTCAACTGTATCTAGCAGCTCTTGATCTGTAGGGGGAGGAAAAAGAAGAAAATCTGAATGGAAAAGGCACTATGAGGCTTTTCATGATGAATAATATGAAAAAATTGGCTCTGGTCCTTAAATTAAAAGATTGAGAGGAAAAACTAATGAACTCCTTTAGTCAATCAGCATTTTGGAAAGTTAGTTATTAAACTATAATTTTATACACTCTCATCGAACTCTATCTAATCTTTTGTTTGATGTCTCTGTGGCAATGATACTCTGACTTTCTCCTCCAGGAAATGCCTTTCAAACAGCTATCCACCAACATATCTGACACTTCTTAGTCTATTGTGGGTTCCCTTTCTTCTATTGATCCCTTTAACATTTTGGGTATCTCATAGACTCCTCAAACTCAATGCATTAAAAATTAACCCTCTGGCTATCACTTTTCTCAGCTCTAAGAAACTATTCTATACTAGCCAGCCCGCTTCTACCCTCTGTCTTTTATTCTAGTTCAATTAATGTCATCCACCAAGATAGCTAAACTTCAACCTTCAGATCATTCTTGACACCTCTCCCCTCACTTCTAACACCACATCCTACTAACTCGCTAAATTAGTCTTCCCAATTTCATCTATTACATTTCACTAGAATTTATTCTTGCTAGTACCAAACACTGAGTAGTTATTTTGCCTAGATTCCTGCAATAGGCTGTTACTTATCTTCATGTCTGTAGTGTCACCCCATTCCAATATAACCTCTTTACCCTTATTAATCAAACTGTGGTCCTCAGTCAAGTAGTACCAGCCTCAACTTGGAGCTTGTTAGAAAGGTAGTATCTTAAACCTACTGAACCAAAATCTGCATTTTAATGATATTCTCAGGTGATTTCACTGTTCTATACCACCACTGGATTTAACTTTCTAATATGATCATCTTCTTACCTAGCTTAACTATTCTGTGGCTCAATCTTACCTACTGCATTGACTACTAAATGTCATGTGCAGACTAGAGTTTGCTAGCTAAATAAGAACCACCTGGGAAACCACCCTAGTCGTATCTAGTCAATCTCTGAGGGATGAGACTGGGAATCTGATTTTTTAAGTAAGTTCTCCAGGCAATTCTGTGTGTCTTGGGACCTCTAGTTATTGGATGAAATACAAGCCCCCTAGATTGTCTCCTTTCTAGTTCTATATCTTAAAAATTAAGTAGTCTTATCAAACTCTAAATCCCATTGGGCTACTTGTTTCTCCTTGGTACTATCAAAGTCACTTAGACATACCTCCATTTACAATCACTTTTAATTGTAACTGTTTCCTCATTTCAAGAAGTTTTTGAACTTCTTTAAGGCCTAGGCAATATCTTATTCATCTCTATATATCTAGCATAAGGAACTGAATAAATACTGGTCGATTAAAATGCCGGCTTAAAAGTTAATTTTTTAAAATGAACCTTGTGGCTCTCTTTCTTTCTTAGGCACCATAGTTGCAGACCTTCCCCCAGGATATCATTAGTCTTACATTTCTACTTTAGATATTATAATAAAGTTGGCAGAAGGTATGCACATGTAAGTACCATTTTAGCTGGAAAATTTAACTTCATTCATGTACAGTAACAGGATCCTTGCTTTGGTCAGAAAACTAGGCTTTTTGTCAAGTTTCAGCATGTTTATTAGGAAGGAAAAAATATTGTCTTTAGCAAATATAAACAAAACTAAGTTCCTTGTAAACAATATTCATAGTCCTAGCTGGTTTGGCTCAGTGGATAGAACCTTGGCCTGTGGACCAAAGGGTCCCAGATTCGATTCCAGTCAAGGGCACATATCTTGGTTGAAGGCTCCTCCCTGACTCAGGCCCTGGTAGGGGCTTGTGCAGGAGGCAACCAATCATTGTGTTTCTCTCATATAAATGTTTCACTCTGTCTTTCCCTCTCTCTTCCACTCTCCCTGAAAATCAATGGAAAAATATCCTTGGGTGAGGATTAATAAAAACGAAACAAAACAAACAATACTCATAAAGTACAAACTTAAATATCAAAGAATTCCATACAGAGAGCCCAACCACCCAGCCAAATTCTAAGTTCATGAGTTGCTGAAGATCATTGAACTGCTCTTTTTAATAAGGTTAAAATATACATACTTCAAGTGTTTGTTTAAAAATTTATTTACTGTTCTTTCAAGTATTCTAAAAGCTATACACCTTAATTGATAAAACTATTTCCTGCTAGTCTAAGACTAGAACATTTTGAATAAGGTGAAGAACAGCATAAAATTAGGATAAATTTAGCCAAGATCATTCAGGGCTTTTAGGCTTTTAAAGATTAGAGTTTATTCTAAGAGCAGTGTGAAGCCACTGAAGGGTATTAAACTGGGAAACAACATGATACAATCTGCATTTTTAAAAAGATGGCTCTAACCAAAAAACATGAAATACTTAGGTATAAATTTAACAAAATATGTGCAAATTCTAAAATCTATATGCAGAAAACTACAGATGATAAAAGATAACAAATCTCTAGATTTATTTATACCAGTTCTCTTAATATTGTTAAGATGTCAATTGTACCCAAAGTAGATTAAGCATAATTCCAACAAAATTCTGAGCAGGATTTTTTGTACAAATCAATAAGGTGATTCAAAAATTTATATGGAAAAGCAAAGGAACTAGAATAGCCAAAACAATTTTGGAAAAGAACGAAGTTGAAGATTCAGGTTGCCTGACTTCAATACTTAGCACAAAGCAACAATAATCCTGACAACATGGTATAGGCCAAGGAGAGAAACATAGAATAGGGAAGTGAGGTAAGCAAATTACAGACCATAGGACAAATCTAGCCTATCTATCACCTGTTTTTGTATGTTCCTAAGATAAGGATGCTTTTAAATTTGTATATATGGATGAAAAAATAAAAAGAATAATCTTTAGTGACAAGTGAAAATTATAAGAAATTCAAATTTCAGTACCCATAAATAAATCATTATTGGAACATATCTAGACTCATTTATTTACATTGTCCATAGCAAATTTTATGCCACAGTAAAAAGTTGAATAGCTATGACAGACTCTATGTGGCTCTCTCATCACTTTGCAGTGCTTTTCAGCACTCTACAAATTGCAGCATTTTCACTGCTACATGTATCACCTTTGTGAAAAGATATTTTTCAAAGATAAAAATATGTAAAATTTTATTATAAATATGCATTACTAGATGAACCATTTGTATTAAATTTTGATGAGAAGAAACACTAATTTTGAACCCCTATTAAGCAAAATGTTATCCCCACCAATCCCATTCTTCTTATTAGTAGACCTGTGTTACAAAATTGTACTCAATTATTATATTTGTAATTGAATGTATTGGGATGACATTGGTTAATAAAATTACACAGGTTTCATCTATACAATTCTACAATGCATCATCTGTATATTGTATTGCACGTTTAACAGTTATATTTTAAATTCTGTCAAAAAATTCATGGAAATTTATTTTTTCTCTTGTTATACAAGTATCTACATAATATCTTGGATTTTGCCTTTTGACCTACAAAACATAAAGTATTTACTATCTGGTGCTTCTCAGAAAAAGTTTGTTAATCCATGACATAGATCACAGCAGATATAGAACAGAATACAGTCCAGAAATAGACCCATGCAAATACAGGCTACTGATTTTTGACAAAGGCGAAAAGAATATTCTTTTCAATAAATTTGCTAGAACAACTGGATATCCATAAGCAACAAAATTATCTTGATCTCACATCCCACGAACAAAAATTAACTCAAAATGGATCACAGATCTAAGGATAAAATGGAAAGCTTTAAACTGTTAGAACAGGAGAGAATCTTTGTAACCATGGTTAGGTAGAGTTCTTAGATACAACACCAAAAGACTGATCCATGAAAGAATAAATTACACTTCATCAAAATGAAAAAAAAAAAAAAAGGTTTGCTCTGAGGTACTGATAAATGAATAAGACAAGCCACAGACAAGGAGAAATTTTTTTTTTTTTGCAAAGTATGTATCTAACTTTGTATTCATAATATATAAAAAACGTTAAAAATCCAAAAAAAATAAATCAAATAAAAAATACACTAAAGACTTAAGTATGCACTTCACAAAAGATATATGGATCTCAATGAACATGTGAAAGATGCTAAATATCGTAAGTCGTATGGGAATGTACATCGAAACTACAATGAGCTACCACTATACATGTATTACAATGGTTAAAATAAATAAAATAAAATAAAATAAAATAAAATAAAATAAAACTGGTGCTAGAGAGAATGTGGAACAATTGAAACTCTCATATAGTACTAGTGGGAGGGTAAATGGATCAGTCAATGTAAAAGAAAGTTTGCTAGTTTCTTATAAAGTTAAATATAAACTTTCCATGGAACCTAGCAATCTAACTCCTATGTATTCCGCAAGACAAATGGAAACAATCCAAATATTGTATGGTAGTGGTGATATGGCTTCCTACTTTTGTCAAAACTCAGAACTGTACACTAAATAAAAGGAGATTTTTACTATATACAAATCAAACCTCAATAAATCTGTCCTAAAAAATATAAGACAGCTCTGGCTACTGTATGAAAACAAACGCAAAGAACAGGCCCCAGGAGGCCAGGAGACTGTTTCAAGAGCTGTTGTGGGCAAAAGAACATATGACACGGATCTGGATTAGGATTTGGCAGCAGAGAAAGAGAGAAAACTAGATGCAGGAATAACTGCATTTAGAGCAAGGTTTTAGGTATATATATATTTGAATGATTTGTGAGGCCACTTACTGAAATAAACAATGTTGGAGGAGGTATAACTTTGAGGGGGGCGAGTATTAGTTCATATTTTTGTCAGCCTGCAAGAAATAGAGCAAGCAATTGAATTAGTATTCTGGAGCACAGAAAGGAATTTTGATGTTCTTACCTGTTTGGGAATTATTAATATAGAAATATCTAGGCCAAAAAGAAAATAGAGAGTGAGCTGGAGAAGGGGTCATGGTAAGTAAACCAGGAAGAAGAGGATAACTCCAAAGAAAACTCAA